CCAGGAGTTGTGGCAGGCGCCTGCAGTCCCAGCTACTTGGGAGGCTGAGGCAGGAGGCTCGCTTGAGCCCAGGAGTTGGAGGCTGCTGTGAGCTGTGATGCCACAGCACTCTACCCAGGGGGATAGCTTGAGGCTCTGTCTCAAAAAAAAAAAACTTAAAAAAAAAGTCCCTCAGAAATACACAGTATCATTTTGTTTCCTTACATAGGATAACTATAACTGTTTCTTTGTCACTAATGAGTGTCTTGGATAGTTTTTATATTGGTATGGAAAGATCTGTCTGTCTGTGGTGGGAATACACTGGTTTAGTCATTGACAGGGGTGGGTATTTCTGCTGTTTTTATGCTTGGCCGCCCTGACAAAATGATGATTGTAATGAGTTTCTTTTCACATGCCTATATGCCTCAGGCTGTTGTTATGTAGAATGAGTTCTTGCCAACTCTTGGCAAGTATGCCTTCATTTTCCCCAACTTCCACTCCATACAGTTGGATCCATTTGGGGTTTTATCTTTTCCCCTCTGTCTTAGCTCATTTGCCATTAGCCACTTATCTGCTCTGGGCTTTTGAATTTAGATGCCCTTAGGTATAAAGATCAGAGTAAATAAGTTTTGAGAGGTTTCTCTTGGGTTTACATCACTGTGCCTTTTAGAGGCACTGAATTTCTTGGTTGGTTGGTTTGATTGCTTATAGTTTACATCTGTACCTTTTAGAGGTTAGATACTCTTAGGTATAGAATCAGAGTAAATAAGCTTTGAGAGGTTCCTATTGGTGAAAAAAAAGTGCAGGAATTTTAATATCCAGACATAGTGATTTCTGTCTTAACTACTTGAGATGGCTGATTTTTGCGTTTTAGCTTCCTTCTGGGATCCTGGATCCTGTTTTGGCAGATGAAGGTGCTGTCTGACTGGGCTCCAGATGGGTAAACCTTGGTAGTGTTGCATGTAATTTTGAGAGTGAGACCAAAAAGTCCTTCTGAATGCTTAGTAAAGCAAAAGAGAACTGATTTTAAAATAATAATTGCTCTGGACATTGTATATTATTAAACTGGCCTCAGCTACTCACATCATCTCTATTAGTCTCAGACTAGCTGAGATTCACATATGGGCAGGACTGAATAAATGTATTTTCCCCCAATACTTGCATGCAGGAGTCCACCATTCACATTCCCTGCTATAATCTTTGAACACAAAGGGCAACAATAGACATATAGAGATACGGTGCAGCTTACAGATTCTGTTGCTAGATCCTTCAGTATGGGGGTGAAGTCCACAGACTTGGCAGAAAAAAAGTGGATTCTGGAGAGACAGATACTCTTTCTTAAGCATTTGGTAAGATTGCTTTAGGCTGGAGTTCTGTTGCTACAAGCTCAGCAAAGATTAAGAACTCTTATCGTGGATGGTGCCTATGGCTCAGTGGGTAGGGCGCCAGCCCTATATACCTAGGGTGGTGGGTTTAAACCTGGCCTCAGCCAAACTGCAACAAAAAAATAGCCAGGCGTTCTAGTGGGTGCCTGTAGTCCCAGCTACTCAGGATGTTGAGGCAAGAGAATCGCCTAAGCCCAGGAGTTGGAGGTTGCTGTGAGCTGTGTAACGCCATGGCACTCTACCGAGGGCAATAAAGTGAGAGTCTGTCTCTACAAAAAAAATAATAAGAAGAACTCTGTCCCAATCATAGTAGTGACTGAACTCCTGCCAACACGGGAGACATGCTTTCCCATCTTGTCCTTCCAACATGCTGGAACCAGAGGTATGAGCCACCATACTAGGCCACATAGCTTCTGAAAACTGCTCAGTCCTCTCCTAAAGGAAGGGTTTAGTCCAGAGAGAATTCAGTGGGCCCCAAACCAGAAAGCCGTCCTGAGTTAATCTGAAGTTTCATTCTGTAAGAAGTCCTCATCAAGGGTTTCACTTTCCTAGATAAATCACTTTACACAGTGGTTTTGTCTACCCATGAGACTGTTGCAAGAAAAGTGGGCCTTTAGTCCTTCAACTTCTTTTTTTTTTTTTTTTTTTTTTTGAGACAGAGCCTCAAGCT